CCATTGATGAATGAAGGAATGAAATGAATGAATGAACGAAACATATATATATATAGTGAAATATTATATATTTATAGTGGAATATTCACTTTAAAAAGGAATGAAATTCTGATACACACTACAACATGGTTGAACCTTGAAAATAGTATGGTAAGTGAAATAAGCTAGACACATAAAGACAGATATTGTATGATTCCATTCATATGAGGTACCTAGAATAGGCAAATTCATAGAGACAGAAATTAGAATAGAGGTACCAGGGACTGGAGGGGAAGAGAATGGGAAGGTTATGGATTAAGAAGTACAGAGTTTCTTTCTTTTTTTTTTTTTTTAAGATTTTATTTATTTATTTGACAGACAGAGATTACAAGTAGGCAGAGAGGCAGGCAGAGAGAGAGAGGAAGGGAAGCAGGCGCCTTGCTGAGCAGAGAGCCCGATGCGGGGCCTGATCCCAGGACCCTGGGATCATGACCTGAGCCGAAGGCAGAGGCTTTAACCCACTGAGCCACCCAGGCACCCGAGAAGTACAGAGTTTCTGTTTGGGTTGATGAAAAACTTCTGGAATGGATAGTGGTGATAGTTGAATACCTTTGTGACTATAACTGCTATCGATTGAATTGTGTCCTGCTTAGATTCATACATTGAAGTTCTAACCCTCAATGTGATAATATTTGGAGATGAGGCCTTTGGATGATAATTAGGTTTTGAGGTCAGGAAGATAGAGCCCTCAAGTTGAAATCAGTGTCCTTATAAAAAGAGACACCAGAGAGAGAGAGACAGCTTTTAACAGAATCTGACCAAGTTGACATCTTGATCTTGGACTTCCAGTCTCCAGAACTGTGAGAAAAAAATTTCTGTTGTTTAAGCCACCAGCCTATCATATTTTGTTATGGCAGCCCAAGCTAAGACAGAGGTTAATGCCATTGAATTGTATACTTGAAAATGGTTAAAATGGTAAGATCTATTATGTATATTTTACCACAATAAAAAAATAGAAACAAAAAATGAAATAGGCAATTCTGTTATCTTGCCTCTCCTTTGCAAATCTCTAGATGCCAGTCTGGGAAAGACATTAGTAATTGTACAGCAGTGACTGTTGTCCAACTCTCTCAGCGCTTCTGCCTTATATGGATGAGGAAAGAGAGGATCACCACAATAAACTGATTTAACTGGGGTCATAGTTCTCTGTTCCTCACCATGTATACCTTACCTTCAAGAATGGCACTACTATCACCTAGCTGCCCAAACCAAAAATCTTTCTCATCCTTGATTCTCTCTCATCTTCCTCAACAGCTACATCTTGATGATTCTACCATCTTAATACATCTGTATTCCTACCATCTCTGCCTCAATTTAGGTCACTGTGGTCGCTTGCCTATTAGCTTCTTAGCTGGTTTTATTGCTTCTCTTCTTGTTCTCCTCCCATCTTTTCTCAGAGTCTTTCCAAAATCCAATCAGATTATTTTATTCTCCTACTAAATCTTTCAATAGCTCCCTTTACTTACTTGGGTTAAGTTCAAATGCCTCAGGATGACATTCAATACTCTTCAAGGTCTTCTGGTCTCCCCTTAACTCTCCAGTCTGGTCTCTTCTCTCCACTTATCACCCAGACTGTGCTCCAGCCCTATTAAACTTGTGATTCCCTCAACATTCATACTCATTTCTCTTCCTGATCATTGCTAGAGAATGGACATTTGCAGAGATAAAGGTCACAACACACATGGATATGGTTCTTTCTTTCTTTCTTTTTTAATTTTATTTATTTATTTATTTGAAAGATTTTGTTTATTTATTTGACAGTGACAGAGATCACAAGTAGGCAGAGAGAGGAGGAAGCAGGCTCCCTGCTGAGCAGAGAGCCCGATGTGGGGCTTGATCCCAGGACCCTGAGATCATGACCTGAGCTGAAGGCAGAGGCTTTAACCCACTGAGCCACCCAGGCACCCCTTTCTTTCCTTCTTTAAAAAAAAAAAAAAAAGATTTTATTTACTTACTTGAGAGAGAGAGAGCATGAGCAGGGGGAGGAGCAGAGGGAGAAGTAGACTCCCACTGATTGGGCACCTGACATCAGACACCAGCACTGGGCTGGCCTCCAGAGGTTGATCCCAGGACCCCGAAATTATAACCTAGCTGAAGTCAGACGCTTAAGAAACTGAGCCACCCAGGAGTCCCTGTGGTCCATTCGCTCTTTTGTACCCCTTAACTGGTGGGGTGAGGTGGCCCCAGGCCTAACCCAGTCCTCTCTCTTGTTTCTTCCTGGCCTCCAAGGCAGCCTCAATGGGGTCTTTTGGTTACTGGATTAAACTGCTTGCCTGTCCCCTTTCTTCCAGGGCTGGTGGGAAAGGCATTTGACCAAATTGGAGTTTTAAGAGTTGAAACTGGGATTTGGGCATTGGGGTGTAAATAGGCCTCATTTTTTTTTTTTTAAAAGATTTTATTTATTTATTTGACAGAGAGAGATCACAAGTAGACAGAGAGGCAGGCAGAGAGAGAGAGAGAGGGAAGCAGGCCCCCTGCTGAGCAGAGATCCCGATGTGGGACTCGATCCCAGGACCCTGAGATCATGACCTGAGCCGAAGGCAGCGGCTTAACCCACTGAGCCACCCAGGCGCCCTCATTTTTTTTTTTTTAAGATTTTTTTTATTTATTTGTCAGAGAGAGAGCACAAGCAGGCGGAGTGGCAAGCAGAGGCAGAGAGAGAAGCAGGCTCCCTGCTGAGCAAGGAGCCGATACGGGACTCGATCCCAGGACTCTGGGATCATGACCTAAGCCAAAGGCAGCCGCTTAACCAACTGAGCCACCCAGGCATCCCTAAATTGGTCTGATTTTGTTCAAGGATGCTGAGACCTATTAAAGGAGAGATGCATGCCATAGTTTATGGGCATTCTACAGAAGGCATTGGGACTAAAGCCCCAACTAGTAATATGTTACCTGCCATGAGAAAGTGAAGGATAAGATTCAGGAAATACTAGGATCCTGAGATCAAGACCTGAGCTGAGATCAAAAGTTGGACACCTAAGAACTGAGCTATCCAGGTGTCCCTGACCAATTACATTCTTAAAGTCTTCCCGGTCCACTTTCCTCAGGCTGTTTCACCTGGTAAACTCCTCATCATCCTTAAGCTATTAATTTTTTTTTTTAAGATTTTATCTATCTATTTATTTATTTGAGAAAGAGAGAGAAACAGCAAAAGAGGGAACTCAAGCAGGGGGAGAGAGAGAGAGAAAGAAAGAGAGCGAAAGAGAAACAGGCTTCCCGCTGAGCAGGGAGCCTGATGCTGGGCTTAATCCCAGCACCATGGGATCATGACCTGAGCCCAAGGCAGATGCTTAACGACTAAGCCACCCAGGCACCCCTAAGCTCTTAACTTCTAAGAATTGATCTCACCATCCTCCAAGGAGACTTGTAAACTCTTTGAAGTCTGGGCCTATACCTCCTTCATTGTATCCCCAGGGCCTGGCATTGTTGATGACTGAAAGATCGTACCTAGTGACTGTCAAAGCAGAATTTAAAATGTCCGTTGCCACAAATTCATCCACACGTCCTTCTCATGGGGCCAGCCTAGCACTGTAGCACTGTGCCTTGTCAACGTGTAACCTGCTCTCTCTCTACTCAGTTCCCGGTTGGTGATTGCGTGTGGGGAAAGGCTGAGGATAACGCTTTTTGGAAACGATCTAGTCAGCAGTTAAGCTGCACCCTCACCCACACGGCTGTACTTAACAGCACTCCTAGCACGTGGTTGAGTTTTATTCTGCTCCTCTGTGGCTTTGATATAAGAGTAAGAAAAACATGAAAAGGAAATGGGTTCAGTATCCAATATCCTATCCAAGGAGAGGAGGGCCGCCAAGAGGGTCATGAATCTGCAGAATTCTTCTCTCTTAGAACACCGTCAGCACAGCTCAAAAGCCTTTCCTCACCTCCTGGCCTCTCTCTGAGACTAGGCCCAGCTGGGTTAGATGGTTTCCTGTAAGTTTTTTTTTTAACAAGGGCGTTTAAAGTAAGAAAGAGGAAGAGAAAGTCGGAGGAAGGGGTAAGGGGCCAAGGCCGAGCCAGGCCGGCTTCTGCTTATAAGTCAAGATGGGTTTCTAAATTCAGAGAAGGCAGCACATCTCCCTCCATCTCTTTCGTTTCTGCCTCTACTATCCTCTCTGGGTCCGTTGATTTATCACTGAGACACAACTCAAGAAGGGCAGACAGTTTCTTTCCTAAGTGTCTGAAAGGGAAAAAACTTTGAGCAAACAGCCAAAAGAGGGAGGAGGGTAGAGAGGAGACTGGCTATAGTGTGGGGAAGAGAAGGAGGGAGGCCGAGGAGGCACTGGCCGCGCACGGGGAGGCCAGCCGGCGGGCGCGCCGGCAAGCTACAGCTACCCGGGCCGATCCCCTAGCAAACTCGCGGGCGCAAATACTGGCGCCAGAGGCAGCCGAGCAGCTGAGCCCCAGGCGCAGCGGGGCCTGGGTGGCGCGGGGCCGGGCCCGGGAGGCCCGAGTCTGTGCCCGGGAGGCGGACCGGGGGCGGGGCCGCCCCGGGAGCTGGGTTCTCTCGCGGGCGGCCCTTAGTCTCCCCGCCTCCGCTAGCGGCCGCGGCAGAGGATGCCCTACGGCGCCGCCTGTCCTGCCCCTGAGCCGCGGCTCATAAGCCGGCTGCCCATTGGCGGCGGCGGCGCGGCGTCTCCGCCCCCTCCGCGTCCCCGCCCCCTCCGCCGCCGCCGCCGCCGCCGCCGCGGCTTCCCGGCTCCGCCTCCTCCCCCTCCGGGAGCCGCCTCCGTCGCCGCCACCGCCGCTGCTGCCGCCGGCCGGGGCCCAGTCAGCGCCCGCCGCCGGAGTCGAGTCGCAGTCGGAGCCGCTGCCCGCGGCCCCGCCATGAGCGGAAGCGCCGCCGCCGCGGTTGCCGCCGCCGCCGCCTCAGCAGCTGCGGCCGCCGCGCACTTCCAGCCTCAGTCGTCGTCTCCCAGGCCGGGCGCCGCCGAGCTCGGGCCCCTGCGACGCCCGCGCCCCCCGCCGCCGCCGCCCCGGCCCGAGCCAGCCGCTGCCGGCCGCCTCAGCCCTCCGGGCCACGGGCCTCTCCGGGCGAGCGCCCAGAGTGGCGGCGCCTGCGGCCGAGCGCCGGGAGCAGGTACGGGGTCCAGGAACCGGCTGGGCGGGGAGGGGCGTGGGTTGGTTTTGGGGGTGGGGGGGCCAGAGGCTTGCGGTCCAGCAGCCCGACCCGGCGCAGGGGGTGGAGCGTTGTCCGGGTCAGCTTTGTCCGGCCCCGGAGCCCCTGTGAGCCCTGTGGCCCCGTCGCGCCGAGCGGCTCACAAAGCGTTTTCCCACCCGGTGCGTAGCCCCCTCCCTTAGGGTGGGCAGGGCAGGACCTCTTTAGGTCTCCGCTTGGCGGAGGAGGAAACCGAGGCGTTCAGGGGAAGTGACTTGCCCAAGGTCACGTAGCCGGTGAGAGTCGTAGCCTGGCTAGGACCCAGGGCCACCCCGAGCTGGCGCGGGCCCGGAGCAGGGGTCTGGGAGGAGGAAGAGCCCCTAGCCGCGGAGACCCGAGAGACATAGATCCGGAGGAGGGGGCGCTAGGCCCTGCTCTCAGACACGCCCACCCAACGCTTTTTAGGTAGGCTTAAGAAATGGGATCTCTTGCGGGGTGGGACAGAGGAGCTGGGGCCGCTTTGGGGGCTTGGTGGTACCCTGCGGAGCCGATTTGGGGAGCCTCAGGGGGAAAGAGTCGTATGGGGGGGTGTAGTCTTTGGGAGAGGGCTTTCTTGAGTGAATGGGGCAGAGCTTCGGAAACTTCTCATCGTGGGGACCGTTTGGTCTCTGCCAGGCCACCATTGCCCGGACTAAACCAATCCAGCTGAAATTAATAGGAGGGAGGCCTTCCCGCTTTTGTGGAGACACCCACAAGGTGTCTGTTTTCATGAAATTGTCCAAGTTTTGTTTGTGCCCCAAACAGAAGTGCGTATAAGGCCCTAGTAAAAAGCATTTCTGCTATAGAAGGCCGAATTAGTTTTTTCCCGGGTGGTCTGGATCTGTCACCCGTGGAGAACCCCTAGAGAACAGCTACCCCAAGCGTGAAGGGGGAAGGAGGCGGGAGGATTGGGACAAGTCACCCGCCTGCCTGGTATGTTAGGCAGGGCCCTATACTGTATGGGACTCCCATTTTTCTTTGGGGGCGGGTGCCTCAATGTGTGGTTTTGACTGTGGATGCATCTTGGAAAGGGAAGGAGAGCACTTGGAGTTCTAGAGACAGCGAGAGGAGAGCAATGAAGAGGTTCCTGTGGCGCTGGGAAATAGAAGCTGTAGAATGGGGGAAAAGAAGATATTTAGTCATTGCGGGGGAAGGGAGATGAAAGGATTTCCGAGGGGAAGGGGGCAGTGTCTAGTCCTGAGAAAAGTTGGGATGTTTCAAGGAAGGAGTCAAGGGTGATGAGTTTGCAAGGAATCTGTTTAGAGGTGGATGGTATCGTAAAGGTTGAGTAATAGGTATTGGTCTGCAACAATCACTTCATTTTCTTCTAGTAAAGACAGTTGTACTTTCATATAAATGTTTTAGCCTTCTCATTCCCCACCTCCTATTCTCTCTCCTGTTCTAAGGCTGTTGGCTCTCAGTATTGTCTTGGAAGTAAGGCTTGACAAAAGAGGAAAGGGGAAGACTAATTAGCAAACGCATTAATTAGGGCCCTTTGTCCGAAATGATTCCTTGTTTAAGTCAGCTGTTTTCTTGCTGCCCTCCTGCACTTTGGCTTTCCAGCTGTGGTGGCTGTTGGACGGGTGCTGTGGAATACCTGCTGTGATTTAGACAAGATAGGTTCGATTTTTCTTAAAAAATGGAGGAAAACCTATTTGATAAATATGTATAAAAACATGAAAAATTTCTGGTCAAAGATTTTAATCAGGAAAATGCAAATGGAAACAATATTGAGGTGCCATTTCACACCCTTCAGATTGGCAAAATTTTAAATGCTGTGATAACCAAGTGTTAGTGACCTTGTGGGGAAATCAAAAGTTTATTTCCTGTTAGTGGGAGTGTAAATGAATACAACCACCTTGGAGAGTAGTGTGGTGGTGTGTTATTGGAGAGCTAATACACCTACTTACCCAAAATGTCTGTTTCTGGCTCTGAGAAATCCTAGTACAAGTGTCCAAGAAAAGAAGTATGAAAGAAATATAAGCATTCTCCTTGCAGCTTAAATGGCCACCAAGCACAGGAAGTGCATAAATTGTTAGATAGTCCCATGCACTTGAGTCTTAACAGCACTGAAAAATAAACTATAGCCACATGCATTAAAATGATGGATTCTCACAAACATAATATGGGGTGGGGGAACAGGTTACAGAATTCTTTTTTTTTTTTTTTAAAGATATTATTTATTTGACAGACAGATCACAAGTAGGCAGAGAGGCAGGCAGAGAGAGAGGGGGAAGCAGGCTCCCCACTGAGCAGAGGGCCCGATGCAGGGGCTCCATCCCAGGACCCTGAGATCATGACCTGAGCTGAAGGCAGAGGCTTTAACCCACTGAGCCACCCAGGCGCCCCCAGGTTACAGAAGTCTTAACAAAATGTTTTCACTTTTATAAAATCTGAAAACATGCAAAATAATGTTGTTTGTGGCTATGTGCATATATGGTAATAGTATAAAAACATGCAACAACTAACACCAAATTCAGAGTAGAGATTATCTCTGGGAACAGAAGACAAGGAATGAGATTGGACTGGGGTACACTGAGGGCTTTAATAATATCTAATATTCTATTACTAAGAAATCTGAATCAGATAATTGCAAATTAGGATTTGCTTACTTTGGGTGTAGGGTCAGAGATTCAGTATCTTATTTTAAATATTTTTCAGATGTTTGAAATATTTCTCACATGCAAAAAATTTGCTTGTTTATAGAGTGCAGGATTTTTGTCTCATGATGATGAAACTCTTGCTACAGACTCCGGTCCAGCACAGCCTGGTAGGCATGCAGGCTGGTGATCCTTTTCTCACCCTTTTCTGACCTGGGAAGCCTGGTATATTGCACTGGATGACTTTTATTTTGGAACTGCTGATAGGCATGGAGGATTTCTCAGTCTTTATAAATTTTCTAGTGGACCTAGGTCAGCAGTTTGAGCTTTGTCAAAATATAAGTGCCCCAGGACGTTCAGTCTTTCCTGTTGTAGGGAGAGCCCCAGAAACCTGATTCTGAAAAAGTTCCCCAGTAGATTCTGATGCCCACTAAAATTTGAGAGCCACTGCCTTCAGCTCCTGTCTCTGGGCTGTACTCCATCTCAACTTTGCCCTTTAGGCTACCTTCTCTTGCCCCTCCTGCATGACTAGGACTAATTTGGGCCCATGTGATACTTAGCTCTTTTGTAGGGCATAAAAGAATGATAGGGTTGGAAGCTATTGAGTGTTAAGTCCTTTATAATGGGGACATAGTCCCATAGAGGACTAGACATAGTCCTCTTATTTTCATGCAGGTAGCTACGGGGCCCACTGCCCACCAAGGCTATTTATCAGGTTTTATAAACTTTAACCACTTGTGTCACAATATGGGGTTTTATAATTAGGATGGGAGCAAAAAAAAGGGGGGGGTCTTACAGAAGGAAAACCCAGCAAATTCGGAGAAAGGAAACCCCCAACAGTAAATGTATGTGATGGTGCTTTTTTCCACAGATGATGGTGATTGTTTTAGTGCTTTAGCTTATGACATTGATTTAGATTTCAGCTATTGAATCTACGTTCAAAGATTAGGGTCTCAGATAACAACTGATTATCCCCCTCAAGATGGAAGAATTTCCTTTCTCCAAATTTGATAGTTTTACTTCTCTGCCAGACCCTTTTTGCTCTAGTCCTGATATGTTTAGGAATGAATTTATATTCAGAGATGTGAGGACTTGTGGTAATGAGATCTGTGAAATGCCTGCTTTGGAAGTGCAGTGCTTGTCCAGGTAGACTGCCGCAGGGCTGCTGTGCTGGGTTGTATGGGTTGTGCCCAACCTGAGGGTCACCTGTTTTGTGTGGCTAGTGGGAGTGGAAATTCATTTGTGCTCCACTTACCAAATGAGCATTTTGTAGGGGTGCCTGGGTGGCTCAGTTGGCTGAGTGTCCGAGTCTTGGTTTCTGCTCAGGTCCTGATCTCAGAGTTGTGAGATTGGTCCCTGCATCGGTATCCAATCTTAGTGTAGAGTCTGCTTAAGATTCTCTGTCCCTCTCCCCCTGCCCCTCCCGACCCTGCGCGCTCACTCTCTCTCCCTCTCTATCTTTGTCTCCCTCAAATGAATTAATAAATCTTTAAAAAAAAAAAGTGCATTTCTTGTGGAAATGTGTCCCCTCTCTGAGGCAGAGAGGGGACACATTTCTAATTCCCATCAAGTGCTTCATGAACTAGCATGGCCTTGCAACTTTGGAAGGCTTTGTCCCAGGCAGCTTTGTTGGTCCATGTGTAATGAACTGTGCCATCCATAGTTAAGGACTTTGTGAAGAGGGCAGGTCAGTTTTGGGCTTTGAGCTCTGAGAGTTTTGTCCATGTGAACTTTTAAATGGAAGGAACCTACCCCGCCCCCCGCCCCGGCTTTTCATCACCCTGTTCAGTTGAACCAAGATTCCAGCTTAAAATTGTAAAATTTGTTATGGAGCTGGAGAAATAGGCTCAATTTTGAAAATACCGTTATTTATGAAAAGACAGAATGAGAGAAATATTAAAAGGACAAAAGCGTCTGGTAATTGAAGATGAGAAAGTAGCTATGCACCACATTTGTTCTTGCATTCTTGGAGTGCTCACTTTGAGGGGGAAATACAATGTTTTCTTCTTCCTATTCCCCCTACACTAGCATTCCTCAATTTCTTAAGACCTGAGGCTTTTTAGCCAATTTTGAAAATATTTACCCATTTGTATTTTCCATTAAGTGGTTGTTTACACTTCCTGCTGTTTTATTTTTTTCTTGGAGAGAGAGGAGGAGGGTAGTGCTGAACTAAGGACGCGACTGGACTTCCTACTGCTTTTGCAAATAATGGCAGTGTGTTTTTCAGAACTGTTGTCATGGAAGAGTGCTGTTCTGTGGACTCAAGGGAGAGGTACATTTGAAGTGGTTTCTGTTGTCTTTTTTATTATCATTTTTAAACAAGATCGAGGGTGATGGTTACAG